ATAAGGCTTGTGCTTGTCCAGCTCTCTGCGTCTCTGGGAGGTGAATCGACTGGTTCTAAATTCAAGTCAAGCTCTGGCTGACGTGTGCTTTCAGCCACAGGAAGGTAAAGGGTGGTGGTGGTGGGAGGAGGAGGAAAACATTCCCTTTTAGCTGCCTGGGATTTTATTCTGAATCACTTCTGCAGGGAACACTAATCTAACGCCGTGAGGACACACGCCTACTGGACAGATAAGAGCCCCTGGGCTCATTACAGCATGCGAACCGCTGAGTTAGAAAGAAAAATAACAAGGGTTAGGAGGCCAGCGTGGGAAACCGGGCAATCTGCAGTCCCAGTGCAAACACAAACAAAAACACACAAACAAAACAAAAAGTAGAGAAGAAAAGCAAAGCCACAACTCCTCAGTCCCAGCCTCACTGCCTGAGAAACACTAAAGCCCTATTTGTAATGGTGATCAGGAGCAGTTGACCATCGAATCAACGATTTTCAGTCCATTAAATAAGAAAGGCTTTCTGTTTGTGGAGACCCCGTTGTATTTCGACAGAAAATATGTTTTGGGAGTGGGGGTCGTCCGGGTCACGCAACTCCCGCCAAATCAGACAATGAAGCGGCCCCCACAACATCTCACACCAGATGCCCCCATGCTGTCCAGGCGATCTGCCTTTATTATATTTACGATCTCTTCTTGTCTCCATGACAAACCGGAGTGACTCGACCTCAGACAATTGTTCGGCATGAAGTGGGCACTTTATCCAAAGGGGATCACAGGATCCTGGGCAGTAATGGATACTCACTGGAGAGGATTAAACGCATTCATTGTTGAGGCAGAAGCTGTCATTGCAAATCGTCTTCAGATCAGGAGAAATGTGACCACTGAAGCCCAAGAGATTGTAGACTTACTAGATGTACAAAATGCCTGCCCCCCACCCCTCCCCCCTCCCCACCCCACACACACAAACCCAAAACAACCATGATTTTTTCTGTTGATATTTAATTCTTACATTGTTGCTTCTGGAATGCATGAATGCGAGCAGATTTTTGAAGCGTTTTTTCGAAGGGAACCTTTTTTCACAACTGCATCTCACATGTCTTTTTTTATAATCTAAAAAAAACACTTTAAACAATGCTCTCGTTTCTGGCTGAATGTGCATACAACCTTGCATTGCAATGTTTAAAAATATATTCAATTCAATTTTGTTGCTGGAGTCAAACAAAGGCTGAAAATGCGCTCATGTGTAAAGCCTTTTAACCATTGCTCTTTTGAGGCTATTGGAAGCTCTACCCTATTCCAGGAAATCCTAGCCACTGGCCTTACATTAAAGACTGTTCTGACTGGCTGATGCCCCAGAAGTCCTGCCTGCCGTGAGCTTCTGCTGCTCTGTTGATTTTCAATTGTTGGACCTCAGGTCACAGAAGTCGACCCATGGCGTTCTTGGGTTGATGCCAATAATTGGTGTCTGCCAACTCTCGTTGGTTATGCTGGTGAAAGAAATTTGGGAGAGATGCCATCAGCATCCCTGCAATCACGTTACAAACAATAACTTGCATTGCACAATTTGTGGCATTCTCTGAGTCATCAGGCTGTGCTACCAAATCTGTATGCACTACCACCACCACCATCAACAACAACAAATTGCATTTATATAACGCCTTTCACATCGGGAGGACGTCCCAAGGTGCTGGACAGTTAAGGGTTTTTCACTCTTCACTATCCAACTACAATTAACAAATTAGCATCCAGTTAATGCTAAACAAAATGCAAAATACTGCAGATGTTGGAAATCTGAAACAAAAACAGAAGTCGATGGAAACACTCAGCAGGTCAGGTAGCATCTATGGAAAAAGGAAAGTGAGTCAACATTGTGGGTCCACTATCCTTCGCCAGAACTTTCTGAGTGTTCCCAGAAACTTCTGTTTTTGATCCAATTAATGTTCCTGGGTCTCTACTACTGCCACTTCTGGGAACTGGCTGACTCAGGTGAAAAGATCTCACACAGACACTATTGTGGCGATGTTGATTATTGGTATTGATGAGTTACCAATGAAACTTTGCAAATTTGCTCTTTGTTCTTTGTATATAATAGAAAATGAAATCATGTTTTCAAAAATATGATCAGATGTTTGTGTAGATTTTTTTAAAATCAAAAACAATTACAGAAAACGATAATAGTCTGGGACTGTGATGACAGGGGAGGGAGGAAATGCAAGTGAATTGGTTCACTCCTGGGAGTAACTGCCCTAGGTCCATGGTCAATTCAGGGGAAAAGAAGTTGCCAGGAAAATTCCTCCATGACTCGTGAGGGCAGTGAGGTGAGCTCCAGGAGAAGATCAAGCCAGCCCCAGACCCAGACCATAGATGCATAGATGTAGGATGAGGAATTTTCTCTCTCATTCCTGGAGGGACAGTTACTTTGTATTTGTATAGTGAGTAAAGTAGATCACATGTCAAGTTTATCATAGTTTTTTTCCCTTTCCGTCCTGATGCTTTTACAATACATAGAGCACCAGCCATCATCAGTACGTTTCCCAAGTGAAATGACCATTGTTCATGTGTAAACATAATGACTCTGGAGGGAGTCGCAGCTATACGACATTGCCACCTGATTGCCATGTACATATACATTCTGGGAGAGGAGACTGACTGATTGTTGTTCTCCTGATACGGAGACACTGAGGCAGATTGTAGTGTGGATCCCTCCACCCTATTCCTACCTGTGAGAGTTCTGTGTGGCTCTCGTTGCTGAGCCCTCAGGCAAACCTTCACTCTTTGTTTATCAAATTCAATACAACTTCCCCAAAAAAGTGAAAAGAAATACTACAGTGTGATACAGTAGATAGACTGGCTCTTTGTCTTTCTATAGTTAGGTAGGGTCTAATGGTGTGCCAGTATGCGGTGTAACTAGGCAGAAACATATTAAATGGTGTGCATTTGTAGGCAGCAGGAGAAATCCTATATCAGTTGTTTGTTGTTTTTATAAATGATTTGATTTAGTTAGCTGAAAGACTTTCGCATGGATTACCAGACCAGGAAGGTTAATAAAATTATTCTATGGGGTCAACTGCTGAATCCAAAATTTGACATAAATTTTGAGTATAATTTAACTCTGCACTACTGTGTTACACTTAAAACAAATGGTGCTAATTCTAGATGTAAGATCATTTTCTTTCAAATTAAACTTGTGAAGTGCAAAATCGTGCACTGAAATTAAATTAGAAAAGTCGTATTAATTGAATAAACTGAGTGAAATCTGGAAAGGAAAGCCTCATTGATGTTGAAGTGCATAAGTCACCTTCCCTTGGGGAACATAGTTTGTGCAGTACATGTCACCACCCACTGTTTAGCTTTTATTCAAACAAAAGCAAAGCACCTCTCCACATCTTGATTTAAGTTCATGCTGAGAATAATCAGGTTTTCCTCAAACATCGGATGAAATAGTGTGCAGTTCTTCATTGAGTGTCCAATTTGTCATTTGAATGTCTTCGTGCTTCAGCTACTGTTAATCCTGCAATCTAAAGTCCTAATGGATAGGGTGGTCCTAGTTGGACAATTGGTGGGAAACTTGCCAGACAGTGCTCTCAATGGCAAGCGACGTGGTTTTAGCTGGTTAAACTCCATCAGTATCCCAACGCACACTCTGGGATCCCCAAACCTTGCCTCTTGCCAATCTGTGCCTAATGCTATCCAGAATTAGTTAAGCAGGATATACCCCTTCAGAGACAGACACAGGGAAATTTGTGTGAGAGCATATGATAATACTAATCCTTGCGCTGCTTTCTAAACTCAAGTACTTTTTTTTACTACAGTATACTCAGCAGTTCATTGCCCCAGTCTTGAATGGTGACATAATAATAATAATAATGCTAATCCTCGCATTTGATGGACTGTTACTCCTGATCATGCCATTGAGACGCCTCAAAGCGCTTCGCAGGATATACCGTAAAGTGAATTGACCGTACGTTTCGCAGGTGGGCGGGCGAACTCTCGAGTCTGGTTGTGTTAACCTTAGGGGGGAGTGGGCCACCGACTCAAAAGTGCCCCCCCCCCAAAAAAAAGTGTGTGAGCAGGACAGGGGGTAGTGGTGGGGGAGGGGTGGTGATGGTGAGGGGTGGTGGTGGGGGGGTCTTTATTTTTGGTTGGGTGGGAGGGGTTTCTCTGTGTCAACAGTGCTTTTGACTCACCTGCTGCATGCGTTGCGTTGCGTTGCATTGCATTGAGCAGAGAGAGAGAGAGAGAGTGAGTGAGGGAGTGTTGGGGGTAATGAATGGTCTGAGAGTCAGGGCTGTGAGCAGGAGAGATGGAGCCACAATTGGCTGCTCATGAGCAGTGGGTGGGGGGAGGGGAGAGGGGAGGGAGGAGGAGGGGAGAGAGGGGAGGGGGAGGGGGGAGGGGGAGGGGAGGGGGAGCAACAATGTTGCTGTTCACACGGTGCTGCCGCAGACCGACCGTCGCCCGCGCCAATTGCTACTTTCATTCACAGGCTCCCGCAGCTTTCCCACGGTCCCCGCCGCCCGCGCGTGCGCGGCGTGTGGGCCGCCCGGAGAGGGGCGGGGCGTGGGGGGGGGCGGGGCGCGGGGAATGGAGCGCCGAGCCGACCAATGGCCAATGGCGGCGGCGGCGGCTGCCCCGCCCCCCGCCCCCGCCCCCCGCCCGCGTGCTGTCAATCACAGGCCGCGGCCCCGCTGCCATTGGTGGACGCGGGCTGTCAATCCCCTCCCTCCCCCCCCTCCCTCCCGGGAGCTGTCAATCAGCGGCGGGCGGGCGGGCGGTGTGACAGGTCAGTGCGGGCGGGAGCCGCCGCTCTCACTGTCTGTCTGTCTGTCCGTGTGTGTGTGTGTGTGTGTCACTGCGATACCGTGGGAACGGCAGCGGTACAACCCCGAGCGCTTCATTAATGACACAGGACACACGCACCTCCTCCCCACCCACCCACCACCCACCCCCCAGTCACCCCCCCCCCCCCCCTCCACCCCCTCCCACCAACACACACACACACACACACACACGGGGCGGCTTTCACTGTGAGCAAAGCCATGAAGCGCACTCACGATTTCAGCGGCTCCTCCGACAGCGAACCGGACGAGACGATCGAGGTGGTGGAGAAGGAAAGCGCGGACGAAAACGGGTAAAAGCGATGGATGTGTATATATGTGGATATATATATATATATATGTGGATATTATAGATTTTTTTTAAAAAAAAGCCAAATCCGTGTGTTTTGCCCCCCGGCCCCGGGGGGGGGGGAGGGGGGGTCACAGATTAACCGCACAGTGCGGGACATGGGGAGGGGACACTGCATTGGGATCAACATGTCCCATATACACAGATATCTATAGGTGCCCCTCAGTGTCACATATCTGTCTGTATATGTATTAATCTATATATTTATTTGTATGTATAGATACGATGTTATTAGCAACAATGATATTTGCCAAATCTTCTTTTCCCGCGTACGAACTCTCACACTGTCGGGAACCGCTGCGGCTCCGGTGATTCTCACTGTGAAAGCAGAGACCGTCTGTCTGACTGTGTGTGTGACTGTGATTGACTGACTGTGAGACTGTGTGACTGACTGAGTGACTGACTGTGACTGTGTGACTGACTGTGAGACTGACCGTGACTGTGACTGTGTGACTGACTGTGACTGTGTGACTGACTGTGTGACTGTGACTGTGAGACTGTGTGACTGACTGTGTGACTGACTGTGAGACTGTGTGACTGACTGTGTGACTGAGTGACTGTGAGATTGTGACTGTGTGACTGACTGTGAGACTGTGTGACTGACTGTGTGACTGTCTGTGACTGTGTGACTGTCTGTGACTGTGTGACTGACTGAGTGACTGACTGTGACTGTGTGACTGTCTGTGACTGTGTGACTGACTGTGAGACTGACCGTGACTGTGACTGTGTGACTGACTGTGACTGTGACTGTGTGACTGACTGTGTGACTGTGACTGTGAGACTGTGTGACTGACTGTGTGACTGAGTGACTGTGAGATTGTGACTGTGTGACTGACTGTGAGACTGTGTGACTGACTGTGTGACTGTCTGTGACTGTGTGACTGTCTGTGACTGTGTGACTGACTGAGTGACTGACTGTGACTGTGTGACTGACTGTGACTGACTGTGTGACTGTCTGTGACTGAGTGACTGTGAGATTGTGACTGTGTGACTGACTGTGAGACTGACTGTGTGACTGTCTGTGACTGTGTGACTGTCTGTGAGACTGTGACTGTGTGACTGACTGTGACTGACTGAGTGACTGACTGTGACTGTGTGACTGACTGAGTGACTGACTGTGACTGTGTGACTGACTGAGTGACTGACTGTGACTGTGTGACTGACTGAGTGACTGTGTGACTGACTGTGACTGACTGAGTGACTGTGTGACTGACTGTGACTGTGTGACTGACTGTGACTGTGTGACTGACTGAGTGACTGTGTGACTGACTGTGACTGTGTGACTGACTGTGACTGTGTGACTGACTGTGACTCTGACTGAGTGACTGACTGTGACTGTGACTGACTGTGAGACTGTGTGACTGACTGAGTGACTGTCTGTGACTGTGTGACTGACTGTGAGACTGTGTGACTGACTGTGTGACTGACTGTGACTGTGACTGACTGTGTGACTGACTGTGACTGTGTGACTGACTGAGTGACTGACTGTGACTGTGTGACTGACTGAGTGACTGACTGTGACTGTGTGACTGACTGAGTGACTGTGTGACTGACTGTGACTGACTGAGTGACTGTGTGACTGACTGTGACTGTGTGACTGACTGTGACTGTGTGACTGACTGAGTGACTGTGTGACTGACTGTGACTGTGTGACTGACTGTGACTGTGTGACTGACTGTGACTCTGACTGAGTGACTGACTGTGACTGTGACTGTGACTGACTGTGAGACTGTGTGACTGACTGAGTGACTGTCTGTGACTGTGTGACTGACTGTGAGACTGTGTGACTGACTGTGTGACTGACTGTGACTGTGACTGACTGTGTGACTGACTGTGACTGTGTGACTGACTGTGACTGTGTGACTGTGACTGACTGTGTGACTGACTGTGACTGTGTGACTGACTGTGACTGTGACTGTGTGACTGACTGTGACTGTGTGACTGACTGTGACTGTGACTGTGTGACTGACTGTGACTGTGACTGTGACTGACTGAGTGACTGTGTGACTGACTGTGACTGACTGCCGCCTGTGTTTGTTGGTTTGATTTTGCAGGAACCTGAGCACAGCCCCGGGCTCCATGTCCCCCACCATCTCCTCTCAGGTCCTCGCCAGGAAGAGAAGGCGAGGGGTAAGTCTCACACCGAGAGAGACAACAGCGTGTCAGGAACTCAGGGGAAATCGTCTGCATGTCTGTGTGTCTGTGTGTGTGTCTGTGTGTGTGTCTGTGTGTTTGTGTGTGTCTGTCTGTGTGTGTCTGTGTGTGTGTGTCTGTGTGTCTGTCTGTGTGTGTGTATGTGTGTCTCTGTGTGTGTGTGTGTGTGTGTTGTGTCTATGTGTGGGTGTGTCTGTGTGTGTGTGTCTGTCTGTGTGTCTGTCTGTGTGTCTGTCTGTGTGTGTGTCTCTGTGTGTGTCTCTGTGTGTGTGTCTGTGTGTGTGTTGCGTCTGTGTGTGGGTGTTTCTGTGTGTCTGTGTGTGTGTTTCTGTGTGTGTTTCTGTGTGTGTGTGTGTCTGTGTGTGTGTGTGGGTGTGTTTCTGTGTGTGTCTGTGTCTGTCTGTGTGTCTGTGTGTGTGTCTGTCTGTGTGTGTCTGTGTGTGTGTGTCTGTGTCTGTCTGTGTGTCTGTGTGTGTGTGTCTGTGTGTGTGTGTGTCTGTGTGTGTGTCTGTGGGTGTCTGTGTGTCTGTGTGTGGGTGTTTCTGTGTGTCTGTCTGTGTGTGTGTGTATGTCTGTGTGTGTGTCTGTGTGTGTGTGTGTCTGTCTGTGTGTGTCTGTGTGTGTCTGTGTGTGTTTGTCTGTCTGATATCTAATATTTGAATATATATATATTATTTAATAAAACAGATCATAGAGAAACGCCGTCGGGATCGGATTAACAACAGCTTGTCTGAGCTGAGGAGACTGGTTCCCAGTGCCTACGAGAAACAAGTACGTGAAGAAGTTCTTTGTCTCAACATAAAGTTGCTTTGAAGTTTAGGTTTGCTTTATTAACCTAAACAACGGAAATCACCAAACTTGTGCGTGTGTTTTTTTACACGATGGAGCGGATTCAAGTGTTATTTTTACACGTTACTTTTATTTTTATATATATAAAAAGAAAGTTTGGTCTTTTAACTTTGAAATAAACCTTTCTCATCGGGAAACCTGCAACGGTAAATAAAAGCTGCAATTATAAATATGTGACATCGTATATTTGTGCAAGTGATAAGGAATCTCAAATGCAAGGATTATTATTATTATTATTAGTGCCAGTTCCAAAATGACATTGTTTGACAACTACTGAAGCAATTTGAGACGTCCAGAAGACGTGATAAGGCGCTATATCAAATGCAAAGATTATTATCATTATTATTACTAGTTCACACAGATCCTTAACTCCCATCTTCATTCCTATCGGCAGGGATCAGCCAAGCTGGAAAAGGCAGAGATTTTGCAAATGACTGTGGATCATCTGAAGATGCTTCACGCAGCCGGTAGCAAGGGTAAGTTTCTGTTTATTGTCTTTGGTGCAAGATCAATGATCAATAAATAATAACAACAAATGGTAATAACAATAATAATCAAGGTGATGGTCGCTTGGGGGGAAGAACCTGAGTTACACTATTATGTACAGCTAGTTTGTCCACAAAATGTGCAGCCAATTCACTTTACAGTATAGGTGTGAAGTGTTTTAAGACGTCTCGAAGACGTGAAAAGGCGCTATATTAAATGCAAGGATTATTATAAATGCAAGGATTATAGCTATTAGCTAGTAGCTTTAATAAAGGTTCCTTTGAAATGGGCATTAACTAGTTACTTGCTGCAGTCTGATTCATTGCATCATGTCAAGTGATTTAGCTGTGATATTGCTGTAAATCCACTTTGGTTTACAACAACAACAACAACAAGATTCCATTTATAGAGCGCCTTTCACGTCAGGAGGACGTCCCAAGGCGCTGCACAGTTGGGTCATGACCCGAGCAGGGGGGAAATGGTCAGGGTGAGGGGAGGGAAGGGAGGGAGAGAGGAGGGGGAAATGGTCAGGGTAAGGGGAGGGAAGGGAGGGAGCAAGGAGGGGGGAAATGGTCAGGGTGAGGGGAGGGAAGGGAGGGAGCGAGGAGGAGGAAGAGAGTCGAGAGGGGAGCTGAAGGCACGGTCAAAGAGAACTTCTGTGGGCCTCGCCCTGCCATGAATACACTCTCTCGCTTACCCAGACTGTGTCCGTGATGTCTGCTGTCTTTTTATTTAATCTTTTTTAAAAGCTCGGTCAGAATAGGCCAATGCTGTGTATACGCCGTTTTATAATGCGCACACTTTTTTTTGCTATGGGGGCCTCTTTAAAATGACAGCGATTTCTTACGATGCAATGATGTGGCAAGGGAACAGGGCATTTAAATAATAATTATTAATTTCAAATTATGTTAGCCCAAACAGTCAGTAATAATAATAATATGCCTTGCATTTAATATAGAACCTTTTCACATCTTCGAGATGTCTGAATGCGCTTCACAGAATAAAGTGTAAAGTGAATTTACTGTTATTTTGTGGGCGAAACGCGGCAGCCAATTGTGCACAGCAGTGCCCCACAAACAGTCGTGGATTGATTGACCAAATTTATATTATTTAAAAAAAATTTTGAAGGGATTTTTGACATAATTCATCTGTGACTATTTTGAGAGCGAATGAATGCCTTTTACTTTAGAACAAAAGTACCTGAAGTGATGCGAAGGACCTTATAGTTTAGAAGTAATGAGGTGCTGATTTGAACCGATTTGATTTTTGCAGGTTATTTTGACGCTCATGCTCTAGCTATGGACTACCGCAGCCTGGGATTCCGGGAGTGTCTGGCTGAAGTTGCCCGCTACCTGACCATCATTGAAGGTCTGGACAACTCTGACCCGCTCCGTGTGCGTTTGGTCTCTCACCTCAACAACTACGCCTCTCAGAGGGAAGCGGCGAGCAGTCTGCCCACCACCCCCAGTATTGGACACCTGACCTGGGGCAGCGCCTTCAGCCACCACCCGCACCACCATCACCTGCACCCCCTACTGCTGCAGCCACAAGCCACCCACAGCAACACCTGCAGCTCTGCCTCGTCAGACCATCACCAGCAGAGCAGGGTCAGCAGCTCCTCACACACAGAAACCTCACCGCGTAGAGTGCCACCTAGTGGAAGCGCGGGTACAATTATTCCCGTGGTCACCTCCACCAAACTGTCCCCACCTTTGTTCTCAATGTCGTCCTTGTCTGCGTTCCCTCTCTCCTTCAGCACTTTCCCTTTGCTTTCCCCCAGCACCTTCAGTTCATCAGCTCAGGCGCAGACTGCAGCCAGCATCGGCAAGCCCTACAGACCCTGGGGGACAGAGATCGGGGCTTTCTAAAGACTTTCCTTTTGTGGGATTTTTCTCATCTTAAAGAGACAGCAAACGATGAGTTCTTACTTTTAAACTCAGCTGAGCTGAGCTATTACTGACACTCCTACAGTGGAATGCAGCGACGGGCTTCAATTCGCTGAAAGCCAAAACTGACTTCACACTACATATAAATCTAAAATTCCAGTGAATTTGGCTACATAGATAGCCTCTAGTTTAGCATTATAATACTTGATATAGTTCATGTTGGCAGTTTTACCTCCTTCTCACTCTGAAATACTGTACTTGATGCATTCAATCAAAAAAATGTTTCAGCAGTTAATTTTAATGGTAAAATTAATATAATTGTACAGTAATTCACGCGGAAGGCCTGAAGACTATTTTAAGCATCATTTTATCAGCTTCCCAGAGGCTTGGAGTGTAATGTTATTTTTTTCCCCTAAAAAATCTAATATAAAAATTGGATTTGTAGTGTTATTTGTGTTCAGTGTCTTAAATTTGTATTATTAATTTGAAAAGGGAGAGGGAGTGGTATCGAAACAAAGTGGAGATCACAGACTGTAATTTTAAGTCTAGGTGATTTGTGTTCAGCTACAGAACAGTCTTTCATTCTGAGGGTCAGGACTGTACACGTGTCACAGACCAAATCCCAACCTCTGGATCAGTTTATGTCTTGGTTATTTGCTTGGTTACAGATTGTCGATCGTTATTAACTTACTCCCTTCAAATCTTCCAGAAGTTTAGCAAATTGCTTTTTAATTCCCACTGGCACTGTACGTCTGTGTGTACACACAATGTCTTCTGTGTACGTGAACTCAATCATTACCAAAATGATTGAGGTAATGGAGGGACTGGACTATGAGGAGCGACTAAGTAAATTGGGCATGTTCACGCTGGGAATGAGAAGATTGAGAGGTGACATGATTGCTGTTTTTAAGATTCTAAGGGGGCGAAACAATATAGATCATGACAGACTGTTTCAACTTGTCCAGAATAGTAAAACCAGAGAACACGGCCAGCGATTGAAGGGGGGAAAATTCTGAACAAATCTACGCAAACACTATTGTGGAGTCCTGTAGCTCAGTGGTTAGAGCACTCGCTTTGCAAGCGAGAGACCTGAGTTCAATTCCAGGCAGAGGGCGAAACCTTGGGCAAGTTTCCTTACTCCACACAGAGCCTAATAATAATCCCTCCAAAACCAAAAACAATAATAAATTGGTCATTTTCAATCTACGACTGTTTGTGGGACACTGCTGTGCGCAATTGGCTGCCGCGTTCGCCCACAAATATACGGTCAATTCACTTTACAGTATATTCTATGAAGTGCTTTGGAACGTCTAGAATAATTATTATTATTTCAGTGAGCGAATAGTGAACCCTAGGGAGATGGTTGAAGCAGGAAGCGTTGATTCTTTCAAGCCCAAATTAGATAGATTTCTTTTAGGAAATAACATTATGGGATATAGTAATAGGTAGTTCAGGACATATGTGCATGCAACTGCCAGGAAGGTGGAAGGCGAAATAGATGTGGACCTTGGGCTTTTTTCATCTAGCGTTTCTTATGTTCTTATAACAGGAACTAGGGGAAGTATATACAGCTTCAATCCCGCAGGAGAAAAACTCTCAAAGTCAACTCGATGAGATCAGCATTTTTAAGTTCTTGTTATTACAGGTGTTTATAAGTAATGTAAATATTCCTTTTTCAGTGATATTTTTATATTTTATGTGGCTGAATGGAGCGATGACAAATCAGATTTCCAGCGATGTCTCAGTGTGTGTCAGATCCTGAAGGCATATCCAGTTCTGAAGCTGTTAAATTTGGGGAATGACAGTGGCAAGGATTAGCTGTTGGTTACTGTGTACAGGTTTGTATGGATTTACTAAACAGACAAATTAATAAACTACAAAGTGCAATTGAGTCTATCGTATGGTTTGTGCTTTTTCTTTTCTGAGAACCATTTAGGATTCATAAATTGGAATATGAAAGTCTATTGCCCATATGTGTAAGGAAGGTCTTAAGCCATCTAATAGAGACATGTTGTAAGGTGACCATTTGGCTCAGTTTGGTGGTGCTCTTGCCTTTAAAGTCAAAAGATTCTGAACCCCATTTTGGGACTTGATCCTCTAGTCCAGGCTGACTCTAGTTCAGTACTGGTGGGGTGCTGTACTGTGTGAGGTGCCACACTTTAGATGAGAGGTTAAACTGAGGTCTTGCTTGCCTTTTTAGGTGAATGTTAAAATTCCCACGACACAAGTGGAAAAAGGGAAGAATTTCTCTGGATGTTCTTGCCAGCAGTCCTCTGGATTAATTGGTCATTTACTGCATGACTGTTGGGACCTGACTGTGCCTGCAAAAAGCAGTCAATGCCAGGGAAATGTTTTATGATGTTGTTATGGGAGCTTGTCATCCTGTTTCTAGTTAATAATAACTCTGGTCTGACCAGTAATACTGCTAAACTCTGAACTGACCACATACTCTGCATTCATTTAACTAATAAATAATCCTTGGGCATGTATGAATGTTCTTGAATGCCATCAAAGTAAATGATGACCGTTTTTCTCAAGATATGAATAATGACCACTAGTAACAGGTCAGTACCAATAGTTTTGCCAGTGTGAATGTCACTTGTCATTAGCAGCACCCAGCAATCCAGGATGTATTTCGGGGTTGGGTTTAAAATTCTATACTAGAGAGTATGTCTCAGAGAACCTATCTCTCATCCATGACAAGAGTACTGGGCAATTGATCAAGCAACTGTCCCAACATGGCAACCACTGGTTCCTGGCTTAAAGGTCTTAATGAAACTTTGTGAAGGACTCACTGCAAAGGACAAAGCTTCCTCTATTTATGTGTTGTTAAATCAAATACCAACTCAGTCAGTCGGGGCGGGCAATCATTTGATTTCAATGTTAAAAGACGATCCAGAGAATAGATTTAGGGTAAAACAAATCTTGTTGCTATTTCAACTTTTTAGAATCAGGAATCTCTGCGTGAACAACAGAGAATCTACTCGATGGAGCAAAAAAAACCGACACCTCAGTATAGATCCAGGATATTTACATTGGAAATGAGATTGATGTGGAACAATGTGATGAGTGCAGTTTGAACCAGTCTTGTAGTGTAGGGAGGACATGCTGGTTTCAACATAAAGCCCAGTTGGGTGTGTACCTTACAGATGGTGAGTGCCCTCTGCTGGCTATTCTTGGGACTGCATTGCTCTGGTACAAACATTTGCAGTTGGAGGGGAGGGTGAGTGCTCAAAACCTTATACAACAAGAGGAAGATAATTCTCTATAAATCTCTGATCAAACCTATAGGTGCCAGTTTGACTCTTAATTCATTCACAGTCACTATTGAGCTGCCATTATTATCAGAATACACTTTCCACAGCAACAGAAGCCAGGATGCAAAAGTGATTACATATGCATGTTGTGATGGTATCTTTCCTCCATTTAAAGTAGTTTTCCCCCCTGTTCCTGCTCCCTGAGTCATGCTCTATTCACTGCGAAGAGGAAGGGGAAATGCACGACCACAATGTCCTGAAAGTGAAACACTGTCCTCAGGGCTATTCTCCCTCCCATTTCCTCTTCCTCTGGGGAAGCCCCTGGAGTCTGAGGTCCCATAGCTGAAACTCTGTGAGGGAACTCCGTGAGGTGGGGCATCCTGACCGCAAGAGTACATTCCGTCACTCTTGTTGCAAAGAGTCTGGGAGTAACTTACCGCAGTGATCTGTGAGAAAAGTCTCAAAAACTGGCACTGATATCTCTTTGTTTAGTTCAATTCCTGGTCTGGGCTAAGATCGCTGATAACAGTCAGGGCAGCAATAGGAGCACTGTACTGGAATTCAGCTCCATGGCTTAAGAGTGAGATAAGTGAATTGGTTGTTGCATTCATTTACACAATATACAATCGCTACACTTTACACGAAATCCTGGGAAGAGCTTTGAGATGATTTGATAAGGCGCTACATCAAAAGCAAGGATTATTACCATTGTGACTTCCAATTCCATCTGGCTCCATGTCAGACAGTGATCTCTTATTGAATGCCTTCTAAAAATTAAAGTAGATTTGTTTAGGTTGCTGCATTTAGCTGGAAATTCTCCCCGCAGATTGTAAAACAAGCCCAGCTTGCAAGTCAAGATTGAATTGCAGAAGATAACTAGCTTCAGGAAAAGTTTTTGTCAAATCTTACTTTGTTTGGGAAGTGAGAAGGATCTTAAAATGTATTTCTCATTTTGTTGCAGTTTCGAATCATAGGTGACAAGGGGTACAAAAGTACATTTTAGTGTGATTTACATCATGGCATTATTAAAGTCTTTCTCATGAAGTCAGTGACCCCTTTAAGGTTTGCTGACATACAACCAGTGAAAGGAATTATTGCGCTGCTGCCTCCCCCTTATAGATACTGTATAATCAGTGATCCTTACATTTGGGATAGCAACTTTCACATCAGGACGACATCCCAAAGTGCTTCACAGAATATAAGTGGGGTGACTGTGTTTTATGGGCAAACAAAGCAGCCAATTTGCACACAGCACTGTCCCAGAAACAGCCATGAAGTGAGTGACAAATTTTATTCTTGGCCAGGACACCAGGAGAAACTTATTTTTCTTTTTTTTTGAATAGTGTCATGGAATCTTTAAGTCCATCTGAGCTGGTAGACGGGATCTCGGTTGAAAGTCTTATCTGAAGGTCAGTGCCACTAACAATGCCTGAGCACCGCATTGGAGTGTCAGCTTAGACTATATGAGTTCCAGGGTAGGGCTTGAACCCATAACCCACACACACTCTGGATTAGAACTGCGTGTATAAAATGTTCGGTGAGCACGAGGAGAAACGGTTGCCTTTTTTGGCTTGGCTGGAAGGAGAGCAAGGCAGTGGGCATGCATATCACTGCAAATTGTTCAGTGCTGTGAGTGCATTTCAGGGTCAAAAAGCAGCAAGCACACACCTCCACACTGAGCTCATATTCTAAAGCTAAATACAACAGGTTATCAGATAAAATGAAGGGCAGCAGCGCACAAATCAAAACATTTGGCGTCAAGTAACTCATCTGATCTGTTATATTCATAACACTCCCTTTGAAAGTTTCACAGTCATAACTTTATCCTATTCTGTTAGGAAACTATCAAAGACAAAAAGGAAATCCTGTGTTGCTGCAGACCAGCACTTGACTGAAGCTCCTTCCTGCTCTATGGGAAGCTGCAACAACGGAGTCATTCAATAATGCGACAGATTATATTTTGGTTCCAGTGTCGAAAGGCTGGTTCACAGTCAGTTATTCTCTTGTGAAGGTGAAGCAAGTTATAATTGATAGATGTGGAGTGAGTTGGGTTGAAAAATCACTCTTTAAGAAAGTGGTAGCTTTTCTGGCTCCTCCTCACCAAAAGGCACTTTGTGACGTAAATAATAATACTAACTATCCTTGCATTTCTTTTAGGAAAAAAGCTCCTTATCATGTCAATGAGATGTT